CTTGGAGAGGCCCCGAGGAGTTCGAACGCTGGAAGGCCTCCGCCTGAACACCCGAGTCGGGATCCAGTACTTGGCAGCATGGTTGACTGGGACAGGCTCAGTGCCTCTCTACAACCTCATGGAAGATGCTGCAACAGCTGAGATAAGCAGGGTGCAGAACTGGCAGTGGATCAAGTATGGAGTGGAGCTGGATGGAGATGGGCTTGGAGTGAGAGTTGGGAACGAGCTATTTGGGAGAGTGGTGGAGGAAGAAATGCAGAGGATTGAGAGAGAGGTTGGGAAAGAAAAGTTCAAGAAGGGAATGTATAAGGAAGCTTGCAAGCTCTTCACCAGGCAGTGCACTGCTCAAACACTTGATGATTTTCTCACCCTAGATGCTTATAATCACATTGTCCTGCATCATCCAAGGGGATCATCCAGGCTCTAAAATCAGATTATCTTAATTAATCACCTGGTTTTTCAATGTTTAGTTTAAGGATCAGTTCCTCTAGCAGTCTTTGCCAAATCAATAATAATGTACTCTCTCTCTCTCTCTCTCTCTCTCTCTGATCCATTGTATTGATGGTGGTTTCATGCAATCCAACTGTACTTCTCTGTATACATATTTTCCATCATGATATGTATGTCTTCTGTAATGAAATCGTCCATTAGTTGTAACTTACATTGGAATTGAACAATCACTTATATCCTAATCTAACCCATTAGTGCACCCATTAATCATAAGTTATAACTTGATTGTATATATAAAATGTGTGATTTCAAATAATGGTTCAGCTTTCTCCTTTTTTTTTTTTTTTTTTTTTTGAATTCTTTTTCTTCAGACAAAAATGAAAAATAAAAATGGAAAGTATAAATAATGAACATTTTTACAACATAAATTATAAAATTCGAATAAGTACTCGTTAAGCATAAGTGGCAAGTTTGGACACAAAACAGTGGAGCTCATATATGTATATATAATATAGCTTTTTTTTTTTTTTTGGCCATATATAATATATCTTATGAAATTGAAGAAGAAAAAAAACACTCGTTGTGTGGAGTGGCAATTTTGGGCACAAACATTTAGAGTCCGTTTGGTATCTTACTAAAAAAAGTGAACTAAAAAACTATGATCTTTTTAAAAATACGAGTTTTCAAATATTGATTTTAAAATCTAAAAACTTGTTTAGTATTTCCAAAACTATTTTAAAGATCTATAAAAATGTTTAAGAAACCTATTCCCTTTTTCACAGTGGCCCACCACCGATTGGTACAGGTCACAAGCAGTGTCCATCTTTTACAATGGCACCATCCTTCACCTTATGATCTTTGTTAAGGCCCAAAAATTCAAGGTTGGGCCCAAATAAATTCTTGGCCCAGTGCGACACCTTATTAAGAAAAGACCCGGTTCAGAGCATGCAAAATTCGTCATGCACACTTTCACGAGCCACGACCACGTGTCATGCCAAATAAAAATGCAATTTATCACGCTAAGAATTAAAATGAGCCTATAAAAGGCACTGGCTTTACAAGCCCATGCTAATTATTTCGTCAAACACTATGTCTCTCTTCAAAGTGACAAAATTCAAGCACATCAAGCAACATGTAATGCCAAGCGAAAAATTATTATTATTACACCTAGTCACGCTACAAGCTTAAGTAGGCTCAAGCCACGCAAATGCCCGGGTCTTGCTTGAGTGGGTTGTGGTATGAATGGTAACGAGCGTTCACGAGGCCCATTGATGAGCCGAGAAATGGAAGTTTTGAGCTGCTTGAGAGCCCCAAAACTCAAGCCCATTTCTTGAGCTCAAATTTGTAGGTAAGCATAAAAAAGATAAAAAAGCCCAAATACCCTAGAAAATTAGCTCATCACTTAAGGAAATTAGCCCATGTTCTTAATGGGCTAACTCATCACTTTAGCAAGGCCCAAATAGCTTAGAAAATATCCAAAAATCTTCAGCACATGGTGTGAAATGAAACCACAATAGAAAACCATGAGATGTTTTTACGCTCAGGCTACTGGGAGACTCCAGAACATGGCCGAAGACAAACCCAACGCAAGCCATCAGAAAAACCAAAGGATATTGGCGCGCGCAGGAGAAAAAGCAGCCTTCAGACCAGCCAAAGTTACCTATCTCCTTCCTTTACTAAATCTTGCCATGAAATAGGGGAGGAAATGAGGAGAGATGATAGCCAAAAATAAGAAATCACCACTAGAATGGCTGCGAGAAGACTTCTGAATTCCCAAAAATATGGTTCCTATGTATTGGGCAGAGGAGAATTTCACAAAATGGGATGGATCGAAAGGAGAGAAGAGAAATGAAAAGGGAGACTTGGCAAAATTGGAGAAAACCTATTAGGGTTTCTTAGGAAGGATGAGCTTTCAACGGTTATAAAATGAGGTAACTCCTACCCATTAAACCTAACGAGAGCAGTGGAGTAAGCTTATTCTCTAACTGCTTGAAACATCAAGCCAAGTGTCTCACCTTCTATCTACTTCTTCTTTATCCTAATCAAGACACACATTTAGATAGCAAGCTACATCTCTCCTCCCTGAAACCTCTGCAATTTCGAGCCTTATTCCTCCGTCTCCTCCCCTTTTCTCTGTTAAAACACTCCAAAACTTGACAGATTTTTCTTCAAGTTGCCGAAAACTACTCAACACACCCAGTATACCCTCATCTCTCTCATTCTTCAACAAACCCTTTTAGAATCCATTCCCCTTTTCCTTAGAACCCTTGTCTTTCATAAGAACTCACAGCTCTCTCTGTGTTTATGCTAAACTCATGATGGTTTTGCTCCCATGCCATAAGCTTCTCATGCCAAGCTAAGAATACCTGTAAGCTGTTGTTATTTTTGTTGGTGAAGGTAACCAAGGTGTTTCCTAAGGTTTCACTACCATTTTGAAGTATTCTTGGGGTCTGATCTTTGAACTCATACCTAAGGGGCAGCTTCACATGTTTCTCTTTTCGGCAGCCCTAGCTCATTCGTCAGGCTGCTGGAACAAAAAGACCCTCACAATCTTTATCATCACATTGTGCTTGTAAAATTGAAAATAGTAGGGCAATGGGTTCCCTTTTTTCATATGAAAAATACTTCTCTCCTTCCTCTATAAGTAAAAACTCCTATATTTCTGCCAATGGCAAGCTAACATTTGGGCATAAGTTTTTATTTTTTTGTTTTTTATGAATTATTTTTGCACATGTGTCAAACAATAATTTGCATGAAACAAGGAGTATCTCCTTCCAGTCGTGATTCGTAAGGAAAGAGGAGTATCTCTTTCTACGAAGGAGGCAAGCAGTATTTACTTCATATGACCATTTCAAAAACACCTTATTTCAAATAGTGACGTGTCCCAATCGGTGGTGGACCAGAGAGAGAGAGAGAGAATAGATAGAGTAGACATAGAGACCATAAGGGAAATGCTAGTAATCTTCTCTCTAACCTTCTCTTTTGAACTTTCTTCATTTCCCTCATAACATGTATCATTTTCTTTACACTTAAAACAATATCATTAAAAGAAAACAACCTAATTTTTGTTTTTCCATATTTACCCTTATTTGATGTATTGACTTCAATACTTTAATTTATTAATTTTTTTTTATAGCTTTCTTAATACTTTGTAAAAAATTATTGTATTAATTTATTAAATATTAAAAAATTCAAAATAAAAAACCTATCTCAAGTCATCCCCACCTTTTCCCCAAAACCCACCTCCATATTCCTCACCATATCCTTAGTGCCACCCATCCCCAACCCACCCTCTCCTTACCACCTTCCCATACTCTCTCCCTCTTTTTCTCTCTTCCACTAATCTCTCTTCAAACAAAACCAAGCCCCTGCAAGTTTTGGCTACGGTAAGAACACCCTCAAGGCCATGGCAAGCATTGGCCGTTATACTAAATTTGGATTTGAGGATCATCACCAAGCACCAACACCAACACCAACACCAACACCACCACCACCACCAATAAGGGTAAATAAACAAAATGATTTTGATGGATTTTTATTTATTTTTTGGTTGGAGATGTCATGTTGTTTCAGGTGTGAAGGACTGGCTCTCTCAAAATGATAAGAGGGAGGATTGGATTTGGAGTTGCGAATCTGTGATTATTCGAAGAGAGAGAAAGTTATTAAAAATAATTGAATGAATTGAAAGTAATCATTAAAGTCAATACATCAAATAAGGGTAAATATGAAAAACGAAAGGTCGATTGTATGTTGTATTAATAATATTATTTTAAATATAAAAAAAACGACGCATGTCATAATAAAAAATAAAATAAAAATCCAAAAGAAAATGTTACAGAAAACTTTGCTAACTTTCACCGAAAGAGAACTAGTTTGAAACCTCGCTTTTTATAATTTAAAACATGAGCCTTCTGATTTGTTTTTAAGTTGAATTTTAAAAAAATGAGCAACATAAATATTTTATTTTAACAAGTACTAGAAGTACGAAGGAATAGTAAACCTCCTGTCCGAAAATTGGGTCGGTCGACCATAGATACATAGACAGCTATAGGAATCGTGTACCATTAGAAAGGACCAATGACTGTACTATGCGAAACACGACACGCCTACTGGTGTGGCCTGCATGCAGAGAGAATGATGCCGATAGGGTTACGTGGTGCAATGAAGTGAGAGAAAAGAGGATGAACAGATCGACTTTCATCCCATCCCAACAACAGCAGATCGTAAAATATAGATAAGCTCAAAACCATTCAAATTAAACGCACACATATCCAAGTCACCCCCTCCACCTGTCCCCCCATCCAGCCACATGCCCAGTGCTCTCTCTCTCCAACCTCAACAAAAAGTAACCATATAACACCACATGACATGACACACACCATCTCTCTCGTCAGATGCCCTTACCTTTGAAAAATGCTTCCCTCTCGTCGTTTCACTGCTATTCTTTTTTCTCTCTGATATCAGAGAAAAAAATAGAACCAAGATGAGTACAATTTGTGTTCTGTGCGTAAACAGGGCTCAATATCACATCACATGTGAACCATTGAAAGAAAAAAATGTTCTTGACTGCACCCAAAATAAAGTACATGACATTTGAACGTATTCAAATTTGCTTTTCACCAGATCACAGAGAGAGCGAGCTATAAAAGGAAATTCAACAGAGTATTAAACAGTGCCCAAAAATAATTCACACTTGTTAATTACGGTCGTTAATTTAAGCTTACTGATAATAAAACGCAAAGCAACTCCTCATCAGTTGTTTGTTATGAACTTTGTCATCTCCAGCTAGCTTTTTACCATCTCGGTTTACCGACCCAAGCAAAGAGCAGCCTTCACGTCCAGCCTCCACGCGAACCCACCACTCTCCATCCTCCACACGTCACACGGCAGCGTCAACGAGCTCCAATCCCCTGCCGACGACCCACCGCACCCGCTGTACTGCACCCTCACCCGGCACGAGAATGCCGCCGTGTCGTAATTACTCATCACACCCACCGCCTTCGCCGCCCTCTCATTCGTCACCAGCCACACCATCGTCTCCCTTTCCTCCTGCTCCCCTACCATACTCCTGTACGCCCCATTCGTCCATACCACCCTCCCCGCACCGTCCGATACAAACCCCGGACACGTGTCCCTCTCCAGATTCATCCTCCTCTCCACGTCCGTACGCCCTAGTCCATCTCCGCCCACCCACGTGTCCGTCACGCAGTCCACCGTCACGCACGACCCCACCACCCTCACCGGCCGCCGCTGCTGCATATTATTCATCGTACTCATCTCCTCCCCCACCACCTTACTCCTACGACATGTCGTAGAAGAAGTACTACTATTACTCTCGAAACTCTCAAAACTCAGCCACGTGGCCGAGTAACCACTCGACTTCCTCTCTCTCTCCGAGCCTTTTGGCTCAGGGGTCTCCGGCAACAGAGGCAGGGTCACAACCGTCTTTTCCTCACCCAAACCCTTCGAAGATCTCCTTCTCTTACTGATATTATTATTATTATTATTATTATTATTGCA